TCAGAGTTGCTGGTTAAACCCTGAATAAGCTGGAAATAATGCCATCACTCTGTAGGTGATTATCCTAAGGGTTTCTCTACAAAGCTGCACTTGGAAATTTCATTTAGTAACCTCATTCCTGTACCAGTTGTCTGTGTCTGCCTGCCAGCTGAGAAATCCAGTTACCAAACAGTAGAGGGAGATGTGTTCCATCAGCTGCACCCTGAAAGTGGATGGTAAAAGTTATGATTTACATCTGTAGGAGGAGACAGTTTAGCTGGGGGCAAGAAGATATACAGAGTGCTGATGTGTGGGGGAACCTAAGACTCCTCAGTTATAGGTCAAAGAGGATGAATAATTATTGTGCACCATTGTATCCAAACATTTTTACATCAAGGCAGTCAGGTAGTCTGTTTTGACTGCCATCTGTACAGGAAAAAGATCTGCAAAGTACAGCAATCAAACAACAAAATCAACCTCCAACTCCTGTATAAGTTATAGCACTGTAGAGAATGGGTTATGAGAAAGGCTTCTTGGACATTTTACTGAACAATCTGTGGTATTTCGTGAAAGCAAGACACAAAGTAAATATGAAACAACCTGTTTGATAGGAAACGTGCTCGAAATGACACATCTCTCCCCATTTCAAACATCTTGAAATAGGATGTTCTCAAATATCTGTTAACTCCACCACATTTACAGACTGCCAATTCAGAACCACAGAAGTGACACCTATTAAAGATTAATCAAGCCCTCATTTTGCTAGCATGGTAGGAACTAATTATTACCATAATAAAGACATTTCATCTCCATGCCTAATTTACGGCTACAAATCTTTTGGGTTTAATTGGGTTGCCTGGAACCCAATATTGTAAAATACAGTCCAGACAATGGAAATCTTTTCCATAAAAAAATTGATTCCTATTAAAAAAAAATGCAACTTAAATATTAAACACAAGTGCAGTTTTTGTGCCTAAGGGTGTAAGGGTGTAATATTGTTCCAGATACACTAGTCTGCAGTGTGTAGTAATGCATACTTAGAAATACTAAGCAAACTTACCTCAGCAGCAACTGCTGGGGACAGAAGAGACATCGATAAAACAAAATGTCATTTCTCCATCACATGCATGTCATAATTCATAGATATGCTGTGACAGTTTACAGCAAATTCCATTTTAAATGACAGCGTTCCCTTTTTGTTAAATAAGCCTTGTAATATTTGCTTTATAAGGCAAACAGCAATGTGCAAACTAGAGCTGACCAAAGAAACCGAACTCATTTCTTTCCTGGCCTGACTACAGTAAAGTGAAATGTGATTGGTTTGGGGTAACTATACTTTGCACTGCCTAATTACGGTGTATGCATGCAATTCTTATAAATGTATTTATCTGTGGAAAATACCAATTGTAAAGTTTCCCTTTAAGAGCAAATCCTTTTTTTTTTGTTTCCGTGTAGTTATTGTAAAGTTATAAATACACACAAATCAAGCCATGAACTCAAACAATGACAAGGCTTTATAATGCATTTCGGAGGGAAAATATTTCTAATTAGGATTTCTTTTTAAATAGCTCTGGGAAGTTTGAGAAATCCATCAATAATATACATTTCAGCCACCTTCTACTCCAAGTCTTTAGGTACTCCAGTCTTAGTTTGGCATGCCAGCTTTACACAGACACTACTATTTCTTCAGTATTCAAAGCCTGCTGCGACACGACGAAATAAAACAATGCTGGAACTGTTCATAAAATAGTCAATTGGATTATTATACAGCATGGTGGAAGTGCACGTGTGTTCAGAGGCAAATGTACAGTTTTCAATACACTGGTGCGCTTCATTTACAAAGAGATGAGAATCCACAAAGCATGCAGCATCATCTGGAACTAGAATCCAGGGTAAATGCCACAGAATCAGGCAGTCCATGCACTTGTCGATTTGTTTGGGTAGTTGATGGTAAAGCTTATAGCTGCAATGTTTTTCAGCGCCTGTAAAAGAGCAAGGAACATGAATATTGTGAATCCACCTTGATTACATTTGCGGACCTGTATTTAGGGCTGTGCAGTTTTAGGGTTGCCTTAAAACGAAGTGTAACTGACATAGCCGAGTCCGAAGACAAGAAATTCAGTGCGGCAATGTGCGAAACACTCCCCTGAATGCCAAATGTTACTTATATGGAGAGCATAATCCCACTGAGCAGAGAATTTACGTCCCTGAGTTGTTATCTAGGTTAGTTACGTCATTTAGGCAAGTCTAGGGCCTGAGTTTTGAAAAATGGGAATAAAAGTTGGAGATGCATAATGCAGAACAAAATAAGATATCTTTTATTAGATTTTTGCCAGTTTTCATAAAACAAACCCCCTTTAGTCAGTTTGTATCTCCTCAGCTAAAAGACTTGCATCACCCCAATGGGAGAACCTTTGATGGTACATTATAAAATGTACACAAGACATGGGCACACATATGACTGTCACACAGTGGAAATGCTGCTTTTGAATGTCTCATCACCTGTACTGAGAAAATATTTAGACTGCCGTTGTTGCCCTCTCCTGAAATTGCCGGTTTCATGGGTATCATGCTAAATCAATGGCTTCAATACTTTGAATGACTACCTGCAAAGGCAAGCAGCAAGTCATGTGTCTGCATATACTTGTTATGGATCAGTGACTTAGAAAATACTGATGCCATTGGAACAGCAGTGACAGCTAGACAACTAGCCATTTTTAGCTAGTCAGCACTTGCATTTCTCTTAGTACAGGTGATCTTTACTTGTAGTTGTTGATGCTTTTTTCTCATCTTTCCTTGTTGCAGAAAAAAAAGGGTCTAGCTTCACTCCAGGTGGAGTGAATATAGGTTCCAGCTCTGAGAACATGTCTCCCTTATGTAAGGTACATCTGTTTGTTTGGTACTCCGGTGACTTTTGTCAACCTAAGCAGTACAAATCAAATTTCATGCTACTCTGTTTGATCCAAGTTGGTTAATGAAGCAGGAGGCTGAGGGGTAGGGAAGTGGACCATATTACCCTGACACTCTGTAAAAAATAGCTTTTCCTTTTTGAGTTCAACAAAACTGGAATGCCATTTTGATTGCTGATGCACTCAGGATGCAACTTAAGACATGCAAATGAAAGCTTTTTAAGTAGGGCTACACATTTAGAAATACTGTAAAGTAAACTTGGATCCATTTAAACAAGACTGAAGAGGCTGTTCAGCCGGGTAATGACAAACCACCATGCACAGCTTACCTGTTCTGTGTAAAGACTGATTTGTTCATCCGTGGTTAAACTAATGAGAAAATCCTGCAAACACCCAAGCTCCTGCAGAGACAAAAACATGAAACTTTAGAAGTTGTTGTGGATATGTACAGGTCTTACAACTGCTTTAATAAAATATAAAAGCAATCTGCATTCATGCATCCACATTTAAGGTAACGTTCCCAAAAGTAATATTCTAGTTCATCACCTTTAAATGAATAAGTGTAGAAAGAGTCAGCACAGTATTAAAGAGGAACTAAGCTCTAAAAGCTGGTATACTTTCTTTTTCACACAACTCTAGCTACCAACAGAGATATTAAAATGGAATTGTTATGCTAGCAAAAAAATAAAAAATGGCTGTTTGATAAAACAATTGTTTAATGTATTAATTGGGCAGTTTGATCCAGACATACTCATGTTCAAAAATATATCAGTCCTGGAAGAAAATCCAAGTGTAGTTCATCAAATCTTTGGCTAATGTACCCCTCGTGTAACTTCAGTGCCATACCAATGACAGTATATTATCTTTTCTTTAAACTTCCCAAAATGTATCTCTTATGTAGTAATAGTACCCCCCATGAAATCTCTTGCTTACACTTGCACGGTTCTCTGCAGTGAAGAATAACTCCGTAAGTGCCCTGTGTAAGGGGAGGAGGACTCCGCAGCTGGCTGCATCTTGATGAGCAGTGTTCTCCATAGATGTGAAAACTGGCCACAGTGGTCTCAGCAGCTTGAAGTCACAGTCCCTAACAAAACACAGAAAAATCACATGACTGGCATGAAAGAAGAATATGGCCTAGGCTAATACAAAGCACTTTAATTACTGGTGCCTAAGAATGCTTGAGGAGAAAATAGCAGAAGCTGTCCTAACTATTTATTTACATCAAAACCTACTTTTCTTTAACAGTGCAGAAAATGGGCCTTGGGAGCAGACATTATACTAGATGGCTCACAGGATTTCTAAACAAAGAGCTTGTGTTACATGCAAAATCATCTACCCTGGAAAGGCAATTTTTTGATGGAAAGCAAAACATCCACAAGTAATAATCAAATTAGGAAGCACCATATAACTGCAACATGTAAACAAAAATATTAAAATAAGAAATCTACATTTAGATATATACGTGACAAAGACACGAGATTCCGTTGTCAAACGAAGGCATAAAATGACATTATATTAGGGAAAGGAATGGAGACAACAATCCAAGGCCATTTACAACCATAGTTCTTTTAAGAGTTTTCATACCTTATAGGACCGAGTTGTAATAGCTTCAGTAGTAAGTGGATTGCCTTTAATCGCTGGTGGCCCTTCTGCCTACAAGCCACATCCACCTGCCATTCCCATATACTGGGCAGTGGGAGATGAGGCACAACTCTCTGATCAGACAGCATCTGCTTTAGAATTTCAAACCCTAACAGAGGAGATAATAAAAGTCTTAGAATAAAGAATGAAGTTACCGTTACAAGGTTAGGCATTTAACAAAATCAAATGGTTTAAGCAAACTTTTTAAACATGATAGGTTTTCATGCTGTGGTGAGGAAAATTGTATTCCTGTACTTGTAACAATGCAAGTTCCTCTCATGGGAACATCGAAGCTTGTTGGATTCCATACACAAACAGCAGCATTTACTTCAGGAAAACAAAGACATTTGCATATTAGATGGCAAGCTCTATGAATCCCATCTAAAGGGCAGAAATGTAGATGTTTAACTGTGTGTTAAATAAAACAAATAGTGCCATAATACTCAGGAAGTACGTGTTTAAAAGAAGCCTTTACAGACTGAGATATAAGCTGTCAGTGCTCACTCCCTCCTGAAAATGCTGGTTGCCTGGCTTCAGTGTTTTCAGAGGCACTGAGCCATAACAAGCATACAACCAGTAAAGCCAGGACAGAAAATTCTATTTGTTCTGGGTCAGAAACTCAAAATATTAAAATCAATGAATCGTTGTGAGTCAGGGGACTTTATTTACAGAAAAACAGGTTTACAATGACAGCTTCAAGAATCCATTGAAAACTCCAGAAAGGGGAAACTTTATTTTATTTTGGACGGAAAGAAAGGACAAGGGTTAGAACCCCAATCAATTTTGTATTATTTTGAACGTTTTCCCCATCTATTTGACGTGTGTTAAACAGAAGTGAGGCGAAGTATCCCCAATAAAGACAAAGTAACAGTAGAGTGGGGAAAGTCTACAACACTTGCCAGGTTTTTACTGCTGTCTCTGTCCTCACCGGGGCAATTTCTGCTCATTGCCTGTTTGGGCCATAACAGGAACTAGAGATAAAGTGCCTCAACTGGCACACAGATGGTATTTCAAACCAGATGGGTTCTAACCACCAGAATATGGCACAAGTTTGGTCTCAGGTATGCAACACCAAGTTGAGAAATTGTACCAGAGAAAAGTGCTAACCTGTCTGAAATCGGCCTCGATGTCCAGCAGCCACAGTAAACTTGTAGCCCCACTCTGTAAAGCTCATGTCAGATGTAAACCGATAGAATAAGGTATCACCTGTATTTCAGAAAAAGAGCAGGAAATGATAAATGACGTGAAAAACAATCTGATGGATGATACCCAAAACATAAACGCCCTATTTGTCTTATGTCAAAGAACTAAGAAGATTTGGTAACTTTGCTGTGCAGTCATGTTACTTTGTGAAGTTATTATGGAACCAAAATAAAACAGCATATTGATGGCTGATTGTTTTCTCTGGGAATACTGGTGTTCAGCTCTGTATTAGACAACACTTACATCACTTCTTGTAAGTGCCTTCTGTTTTAGTTATGAACAGAACCATTTACATACATATGTATTGGTAAATGTAAACCTCTATTACATAACCTGCACCACAATGAATGCGAAAATGGGGCAGGATGCTTTTATCCGCACCATGCGTTGAGTGGCAGAGTGTACGTGTGTTTTTAAGGTGCGTTAGAGTGCCACTGACAATAAATGACTAAGCTCAGCACCAATGCCCATTACTGCATCTCAGTGGGCTCGAACGTCCACAAATCTTTCATCTATTTAAAAATCACAATGGTCTCAACCCGTAAAGCAATGAAGAGACCACATGCACAAAGTTGGAACTTTAACCTCCCCTTAGTACGGGAAAGATTAGCCCCCACGGACATGCTCCTCTTGCTGGTATGTGTTATTTGGGGATGGGTGAATAAACTAGGTCCAGGGTTTTCTGTAATTGTGGACATTCCCTTTAATCCTTTTAGCTAAACTCCCTGTTTCAGATCTCGAATATGTGATCACAACTTTCTATTATGGAAGAAATGGAAATCCTTCAATTTTCTATAAAAAGCTTGATCGGCATGGGTACTATTTTTTTTCAACGATATTTATTGTATGATATAGCTATGTTTACTTTACAAACAGGTAAAACGCATCTATGTAGTCATACTTACCAGGGAGTTCAAAGTCAATCCACTTTTTAGGCAGCCCACTAAATCTATGTAGGTCTTGTTTAAAATCACAGGAACTTGAGATTACCAACTCATCGCAGCCATCCTCTGTGTTACACATTGGATCAAACTTGATTGACAAGTAAATTGCACCAGGGATGTGGACTTTGTCCTGAAGAATAATAACAGCATGCTCATAAAATATATACAAGGGGAAACCTGACACATCAGACACATGCTAATGACTAAATACCAAACGTACACGAGCACACTACTGTAAAAAATGCATATTACATCTACCAGTAGATCCAGAAATATAGGCAGCTGAGTAATAGGCAAATCTTAACTTCCTGTAAAAGGTAAGTTTGGCCAAACCACCTGCTGCTGCAAATAACTATAGGTCATGTAAAGAAACATGTCATGAAAGTAAAGTGAGGGGTTGCCATTACTGACCTACTCCTGAAAATGCTAGTTGCCATTAAGACTCGTTCACAAGGGCGGCAGGGGGGTGATAAAACGGCGCAGTTGATCTACAATTTTACTGCCTTACTGCAGCTGAACAGAGCTGTATAAATAGCTGCAGCTGCGATGCTTTGCATCAAAAAATATACAGCATGTTGTGTCTGTCCGGCGGTGTTGCTTGTCAAATGCAAACATTGCAAAAGAAAATCCCCATTAGGATCAATAAAAAAAAACAAAAAACTGCATTTAGGAGGCATCAGGGCATCAGGATCACCCTCTGAACGCCAGGCAGCAGCTGCTACTCCACCACCGTCTGGTCTGAAAAGTGATCCATCGTGGATCGCTCGTCAGAGGGGGGGGGGGGGGGGGGGGGGGGTAACCGGAAGCGCCGACCGAGCACATATAGGCGATCGGTGGGCTATGGACCCGCTGATCGCCTATATGTGAAACACCCGGTACCGGGTGTTCGCATTGGACGGGTCTTTTCTGCCCGTGCGTGCCCGCTAGATGCTGCAGTGCCGTCCGTCCGTTTTTTTACTACGGGCGGACGGCAAGAGGTTAATATGCACAGGTATTACTACACAGATCTGGAAGAAATACACAAAGCACCCCAAGATTCAAGCAAGAATAATGACTTTTGGATTTAGACAATATTTATTTTATCCCAGAGTTCAGCTTTAAGTATGATGAGGTTCAACTTATTATCCTAAAGTTTCAATGAGTGCCCTTGCATCTTCTTCAGTGATTGTAAACACCCGCTCACCAAGTTTGCTGGAACATTTATGTATTTCAAGGTTGTGATCAAATCCCCCCCCTCCTGCTCAAGGGTAAGTGGCTGAAGCCACTCGATTAGCATAACATTTCAGTACAGTGGTGCTTTAAAGCAGAACTCCAGGATTTTTAAAACTTAACCATTGTAGTCGGTCTATCCCTGCACTGCAAGGGTTAACCGCCTGTTTTGTCTAGCGGGCGAAAATGAAGAACTACTTATCTGATCCTTGGTCCCGTCTGGCTGCTAGACCAGTCCTTGCTCCGGCGGTGTAAGGATTTGTGATGCAATCACGTCTAATACAGGTCTATTAGATGTGAAGACACTGAGGGACATACCACAGCCAGAGGGGTGGGGGAGAGAGGTGAACAGTCACTGCTGCAGGGACCAAGGATCAGGTGAGTATATCTTCTTTATTTTTGACCCTTGCGAAAAAGTGAGCACTTAACCCTTGCAGTGCAGCGGTAGCCCCACTGAAAGGTTACGTTTGAAAAATCTTGGAGATCTTTAAAGTTTGTGAACCCGCTTACATTTTCAGTTTCTGTATAAAGTCCTAAAACTAGTCAGAACCTGATTTAACAAACAAGTCAAAATATTATGGTTGTTTATTACTGTATTTAAAGTTACCGCACAATCTTCTGTAGGGCAAAAGTATATGAACCTTTGCTTCTGGTAACTGCTGTGCCCCATTGGTAACAATAACTGCAACTACTGTAAATGATTCTGGTAACTGTTGAGCAGTCCTTGAAAAACAATGATCTATAGGATAAAGGTCAGGACTTTGACATGGCTATTCCAAAACATTAACCTTTAACCATTTTTTATAAGATTGGTTTGAGTGTATTGGATCATGGTCTTGCTGCATGAGCCACTTTGTATTGAATGTCAGTTCACGGGTGCATTCCCTGCAATTTTCTTGTACAATTCAGAACTCCTAATACCATCAGAAGTAGCAAGTCTTCCTGGTCCATAGGCAGCAACGTAGGTCCATCATACTACCACCACTGGAATACAGTGTTTGCCTTTCATAAAACATTTATCATTCAAGCCAAAAGGTTCTATTTTGGTCACAGACTGCTCTGGAGAAATGTTCTATAGATGAATGACTTATCCTCATGGACTTTAGCAAACTGTTTATTTTGGAGAGCAGTGGCTTTCTCCTTACAATCCTGCCATTAAAACTGCGCTCTTCTGATGTTGGACTCAAACATTGATATTGGTCAATGCCTTTAGATCCTTTGATGTTACCTTGGGGTTCTACTCAGTATTTCACACCATGCTCTTAGTTGGTTGACCACTCCTGGGGAGGGACCAGTGTTAAATTGTCTTCATTTGTATATGACATGCCTGACATGGGACTAGTGGAATCCAAACTGTTTCCAAAACGTTTTGTAGCCTTTTCCAGCCTGGTGAACGATAATAACTTTTTTCAAGGTCCTCTGAAATCTCCTGTTTGAGCCATAATACACTTCCAAAAACTTGCGTTGTTCATCTCAGACTTTGGTAGTGGAGACCCAGATTTGTATTCTTTAAATAAGGAAGGGCCTTCCACATCCACACCGGATTATGATCCCATTGAAAGAAACACCTAACTACTACTTACCTTTCAAATGAACTGAGAATCCTTGAGGGTCACATACTTTTAACACAAATAAACATGTAACTGGAAGTTTTCCTCAAATAAATTGACACCCCTGGGTTTTTTGTTGTTTTAGGACTTTTAGCTAGTATTTACGCAAGAAAAAAAAAAATGTGAAACTTCAAATGGGTTCACAAACTTTAAAGTGACACTAAACTGTTCTCCGAATTGGTGCCGACACTGTCCTTCCTTCTGGAGAGTGGCTACTTTTGTTCCCCATGGTCCCTGTGTGTGTTGTAAAGTAGCCACCGCTCCGAGCTCTCTCCTGTGATAGACTACAATCTCGGTACAAATTAGATAACAAAACATGAGATTGGAGTCCATCACAGGAGTGAGCTTGGAGCGGTGACTACTTTATAACACACACAGGGACCACGGGGGAACAAAATTAGCCACCCTCCAGAAGGAAGGACAGTGTAAATTCAGAGAAGATTTGAGGATCTACAGCTGATACTTAAATAAGATACTGTTAGTAGTTAAGGTACTTGAATGTATTTTTAAGATTTAACGCCAGAGTTTAGTGTCACTTTAAGGGTCTTTTTACACTAGCATGCATTATTGCAATGCATGGTATTATGTGTTACACTAGTTGGCGCGATGTTACTGTCACCCCCAAGCACCTTGACAATAGATATGCATTGCAGCACACCAAAACGTATAGCAACATAGTATTGTGCATTGCAGTTCAATGCATTACAACGAATAGTGAATTATCTTTTTCTGGTGTGTTAAGTAGCCCACTCAAATGAACGCCAAACATGACTACAAGAAAAGTTAAGACATGGATAGAAATTCAGCTGCCCTCATACCTAGATCTACTGATCAGTTTGAGATGCAACCTCTGCTTATGTATTATTTTTATTATATCCTCAGTTTCCATTTTCTAGGTTTATGAAAGGTTTACTCTAAGTAATTTTGTTAGGATCTGGAATAAAGTATTTTAAATTGAGTGCAGGAAAAACAATTCACATCTATTGACAGTAAAATTTTATAGATTACAGTCTTACCTCAAAGATTGTATTGTTGTTGTAAGGATGTTTAGATTCCCGCATTTGTACTGCTGTTCCTGGTTCCTCCATGAACTGACAGGCAGTAACTGCTACTGTTCCAAGCATAATTCCACTACAGCCTCCCAACACCTTCTGTAAAATCTGCAACACAAGTAAATTTTTTAGGTGAATAATTAAAATAAAGTACTTGATTATTGACATATTTAACCAAAATTAAATCAGATATAAATTTTTCTCACTTCAAGTATTCTCTCTCAGCACCCAAATTAGAAAGAAGCATTACCCAACTGTATTCATAGCTGTGTTTTTGTGGTTGAAAGGGTCCTATTAAATAAAAAATGGACCGTAAATGTGCTTAAGAACAAGTCAGAAATCATCTTTGACTGTTCTCACTACTCCAAAATGAGGAAAGATGAAAATATAACCAGTTACTTTTGTGCAAGGGGACACCATTAAATTAGCTCATAGCAGTGACAAAGAAGGTGTCCTACTGCGTATTGTACATGATACTGGTAAAGCAAAAGCGTAAGATTTAATTAATGATATCTGTAGGCTGTTAAAAGAAGGATGAGAAAACAAAAAAAACAGGTAGTAAGATCTGCAGTACAGTAATTAAATTGTACACTTAACCAACATTAAAGACTACCTATACTGTAGTAATATAAACCATTACTTGCAGAGGGATGCATTACTGTGCAGTGCTCCTTTATCATGCTTTATCCGGTCTGACTGCACCATATGAAGGTTTTTGTATCCGTTTTGCGTGTGGTTTTAAACATGCTTGGCAGCAAGAAGTGTTTTGCACTATGTGGACATATTACTTTCAGAGGTTGAATGTAAAGGGAAGGAGCTTAATCATACGGAGTTAGATGTGATCATGTTTCAGGAACATCTACCAGTAGATCCAGAAATATAGGCAGCTGAGTAATAGGCAAATCTTAACTTCCTGTAAAAGGTAAGTTTGGCCAAACCACCTGCTGCTGCCAATAACTATAGGTCATGTAAAGAAACATGTCATGAAAGTAAAGTGAGGGGTTGCCATTACTGACCTACTCCTGAAAATGCTAGTTGCCATTAAGACTCGTTCACAAGGGCGGCAGGGGGGTGATAAAACGGCGCAGTTGATCTACAATTTTACTGCCTTACTGCAGCTGAACAGAGCTGTATAAATAGCTGCAGCTGCGATGCTTTGCATCAAAAAATATACAGCATGTTGTGTCTGTCCGGCGGTGTTGCTTGTCAAATGCAAACATTGCAAAAGAAAATCCCCATTAGGATCAATAAAAAAAAACAAAAAACTGCATTTAGGAGGCATCAGGGCATCAGGATCACCCTCTGAACGCCAGGCAGCAGCTGCTACTCCACCACCGTCTGGTCTGAAAAGTGATCCATCGTGG